CAGCCCAACGTGCCTGCCTTTCCGAGAGCTGTTGGCGCGTCGCGAAATACTCGAGGTTCTTATGGTCGGTAAGGATAACGAAGTTATCACAGCTTCGTAGCTCGGCTGACCATTGTTCGAGACAACGAATAATAGCGAGCATTTCCTTATCATGGATTGGGTAGTTGCGCTCAGCCGGTGATAGCTTCTGCGAGTGGAACGCTACTGGCTTGCGTTGTCCGTCGACTTCCTGCGTAAGTGTGCCCCAAGCGCCCAGCCGCTACAGTCTGCTTCTACGAAGGTTGGCCTCTCGAAATCCCATTGAGTAAGAATAGGGCGTTCGTAAATAGCGTCTTTAGTGTCTGGAACGCCATATCGTGCTCGTCCGTCCACTTGAACTTAGTCCCCTTTCCTGTTAGTGCTGTTAGGGTGCAGTTATTTCCGAGGCTTGCGGTATAAATATCCGGTAGTAGTTAACGAATCCTAGAAAACTGCGCACCCCTTCTGGGTAACGGGGACTGCCCACTCGACTATTGCTCGTATCTTGTCGGGATCTGCCTGAATGCCAATTCCTGCGTGAATAATGAATCCTAGGTACTTAATCCGCTTGACTCCAAATTCGCATTTCTCCGGGTCTAGGTGTAGTCCATGCTCGGCGAGGCGTTCTAAAACTAACCGTACCTTCCGGAAATGGTCTTCTCTGCTCCCGCTCGAATAGATAAGTATATCGTCCATATAAGCAGAGGCGAACTCGTCGAGGTAGTCTCGTAGGATACCGTTAATATACCGCTGGAAGGTTGCTGGCGCGCCACTTAGCCCGAACAGGGTAACCATCCATTCGAAGAGACCGTACCGGGTGCGGAACGCTGTCTTCCACTCGTCTCCTTCTGCAACCCGTACTTTATGGAACGCTTGTACCACGTCGACCTTAGTGAACCACTTCGCATCTTTTAGGTTGCGAAGTGTCCCTATTAGAGGAAGGGGAACGGTCCGACTTAGTGATTGCGTTCAACGCTCTGTAGTCACAACAGAATCGCAGCCCGCCACCTGGTTTCCTCACAAACAGGACTGGAGCTGCTGCTTCTGAACTGCTTGCACGGATAAATCCTTTATCCACTAGGTCTCGTAGAGTCTTCTTAAGAACCAGGAGTTCCTCTCGTGACATACCGTATAGTGCTCCATACGGTAGTGGTAACTGCTGGCCATTCGGGTCCTCCTTGATTCTGATTTCGTGGTCTATGCCTGGCTTATGAGGATTCAGCTTATCAGCTTCCTTCTTCATAAATAGAGGCAGTAAATCGTGGAACCGCTGGGGTATCGTTCGGCGTAGCTCTGCTTCTGACATGGGTTTCTTTGGTGATAACGCCCTTTCGATATCCTTCATGCTGATAGCGAAAATCGCCGTGGCAGCTGCCTCTCTTCCTTCCTGCTTGCGGATCCTTTCAAAGTAACCCACAAAGGTACTGGCTGGTACGTGCTTTGCTTCTTCGAACTCCTTGGCTTTCGCAGAATATTCTCCTTCCCCGGTGATCTACCCAGTCTTGTGTAGGTTCATGCCATAGTCGTTTCTCGTGGGGCACTGGTACGACTTTGTGTGGCATAACCAGGGTTTCCTAGGATTAGGGAATTCCAATCGGGGCACCACGTAGGCACAGATCGTCTGTATGTGGCCGTTGACCTCCATTGATAGCCATACGAGGCCCTAATCGTTGCTCCTTCCATTGCCCCTGATGCTCCTGTAATAGCTCGCGGTGCTATTTCCACTATAGGAACTTCCAACTTTTCGACGACTTCTTCGTCAACCGCGGCGTAGCACTGGCATCCCTCGTCTACGAGTGAGGAGAAGAGATTGGTCCTATTGATAATGCTTCGAATTATTGTAGGACCAACTTCCATTTTTCTGAGAACTTCTCTTCTTTGCCACTGCTCCGTTCTTTGGCCTCGAGACCCGTCTTTGTTTCGAGGCTACGCATTTCCAGAGGGATGGGGTCTCGCTAAGTCCTGACTCTTCCTCACTAGAGTCGTTACCATCATCTTCCAGCAAGGGCATGATCCTAGCGGTGCGGACTTTTACATCCCTCGACCGGCTAGGGTCCTGTCCTGGCGAGTAGGGGCAAGCGGCAATGAAATGGGTGTTGTCGCCGCAGCGGAGACAACGACCCTCGTCACGGCGTTTATTCCGTTCGTCCTCGGATACCCACCTCGCCCGTTGCTTCCGTCCTGACCTAGGCTGGAAGCGAACCGTCTTGCTCGTTCCACTTGACCCCTGGCCGTTCGCCCGTCCTCTCTGACCCTGCCCCTGAGTGCGTGTAACCGTCATTATTACGTCGCCGTCATGGTCGCGTGCGTCACGTGCGTTCTGCTCGGCGGGTAACGTTGCTGACGGTGCCGGGGTGTTGTCGTTACCGGCGACCTGGATGTTGCCGATGCCTGATGCCTGCCCTTGGTCACGTTGCCCGCGGGAGCCTGCTTCCTCTGCAACGCCTTAAACTTCGCGGTGTGCTCGAACGCCCAAGCAATCGGGTGTAGACGTTGGATGTACTCGTTGTAGTCCTTCGGCATGATAACCGGGACTAGTTGCTCACGGAGAGCAGGAGAGATCGAGTTCCGTAGCCATGCGAGCTTGGAAGCATTATCCCAGCTCGCGCCGCCCGCTGGTCAATGTTTCCTCGAATTCAGGAGGAACTTCCCAAACTCTTGGCTGTCTCGTTGAATGAGGGTGCGCAGCCTGTCCTGCGCCCTCTCTGTCTGCTGCACGCTGCCGAACGTCTGGGCTAGGTGCGAGAAGAATTTCCGGGGGTCTGGGTTGCCCTTCGCGCTCTCTTGCCTCAAAACCCTCGACTCTCCTCATCATCTGATCCGGCAAGGTCTGCAGGATCTCGTACCACACGACGTTGTTGGCCGTTTAGGCCCTCCTCTTCGTCGGTATTGTACTTAAATACCAGACGGTCGAGGTAGAAGTGGAAGGACTCAGGTTGACCGTTCCACTTCGGCCAAGTCATCGGCTTGCGCTTCTTGCCACGGTCCATTTCCTGGGCTGCTTCCGGCCTCGGTTCGACGGGTAAGATCGCCGGGGCTGAGCACCCCGGGCTGGGTGTCAACGGTGGCGCTGCTGGCTAGCCCGGTGAACATCTTCCGCAGTTCTTCGTCTCCCGCGATCCCAGATAAGATCTGCAAGAGCTCTTGCTCCTTCCCTCCATCGGCTCGTTGCGCCGCCGGTCGCGGTGCCCCTGCATAACTACTATTGTCCTCCATCTTGTTCGTCCGTCTCGTCGTCCGATCGATCGTCCGTCTCGTCGTTTAGCCTATCGCCTGTCTTGCTGTCTGTCCTGCTGACTGTCCTGCTGTCTGTCCTGCTGTCTGTCCTGCTGTCTGTCCTGCTGTCTGTCCTGCTGTCTGTCCTTCTGTCTGTCCTGTCTTTTGTTAACTGGTAGCTCAATATGTTACGGGGTCAGCACTGTTAGCACAGGTGCTGGGCGTAATTGATGTAAATTGAGCTACAAAGAGTGTAAAGGGGAGACGTGTCTACATCGCTCCCTTTAGGAGTCGTGTCCGTGGCGCTCGCACGTGACTAGTCTGGCCATGCCAGATCTACACATCGGGGCGTAGCCCCTTACACTATAGAGGTAGCGAGAGATAAGACGGATGTGCCGGCAACGGCTAAAATAGAGGGGAAAAACCGGCAAAAAGCTCGGTAGTTAAGAGGACATTAGTGACTTCTTTAAGCAAGATCTTCTTTGTGAATTAGGATGCTAGAGGGATATAAAGAGGGGCGTTAGATAGAGGAAAGAAGGACAATTAAGGCAATATAATAATTACTCCCCTACCGCAATTGCTGCCCCCGTAATAATTAAATAACTTTGCCCTACCTATCCGACCTATTACTTCTAATTTTACCTTCGTGCATTTTATATATACTTCTTATATCTCTCTTCGCGAGAGTCTATACTATAGATAATAAATCCTAACTAATAATAAGAGGTTTTTAAAATAACTAAATAGAGGGCTTGTGGACAGGCTCTTCACTGCAGTGAGGTTATTCGAACTGGTTCAATTGGTTATATCTTGTGTAACTAGGGAAACGTGTCCCATACAAACTGTGTGCAAAGACCTTCCTCCCTGTGTCTCACCTCTTACTCGCACGTGACTAGCGCGGTCGATTAGTTATACGTGCGCGATCGGTGCCTAGTGCACAGGTGGATCCAACACTGGAACCTCTTTCTAAATCGATGATCGCGCACTAATCAATCCACCAAAAACACACACACACAGCGAATTAAGATGAGATAGGAAAAACACGAACAAGAACACCAACAAACTCCTACCACGATGCATCACTATGTTGGATGGTGTGCTCTGACTGTAGCTCTCCCTCCCCACACTGGGTGTGTTCTGCCACACGCCATCATGGGCCACATTTCGAGCGCCGGATGCGCTAGCTGATTCCATCGGTCCCACGTTGGAATATGGACACGAGGATCTCCTCGTTAATGTGAATGGAATAAAGAACGACGGTAAAGCAGAAGAAGGGAACGAAAAACCGATTAAATCTCGTCGAGAATTGTTGTGTTATTGCGATGAACGAATCCTTCCACCCTCACGTTTAGCTGATTGTCGCTAATAAACTGCGTGAGGGCGCTGTTTGGTGATGCCTTCGTCATAGCATCGGCAGGGTTATCTGCGCCGTTGACCCAACGGATTTCCGCAATATCCCTTGATTCATATGCCTGCCTCAGCGCCATGATATCTATCATGAGTCGCTTCTCTGTTGTGGTGCCAAGTTTGACGAGGCACTCATAGAGGCTATATGAATCTGTGCAAATGACGAGCGGGATTTGCTTCAGATCAAGGCGTTGTGCGATCGTATTGACCGTTTGCTTGATCACAAATGCGAGATCGAAGCCCGATGTCAATCCATAGATCTCTGATGCAAGAACGCTTCGAGTAACGCGCTTGCATTTAGTTGAGCTCAATGAAGAATGTTTCCGCGGATGGAAAATGAATCGGTTGATTGCGCGGTCTCATTGGCGATGATAATCACAAAGCCGATCTGAGCTTAAATCCTTATTGTTGGCGAATGATCCATCGGTGAACACAAAGATCTTCGCGCTCTCGAGATCGATGGGTATGTAACATAGGCCACGGTCGGGATTGTTGATCTGCCATTCAATCCGCTTGTTCAAAGCCTTGAAGTCGGTATTAACGGGCTCTTGGGCTTGTGCCGCAACGGAACAATCGTATGTTGCTTCGGGTTGGCAAATCGAAGCGATATATGCCCCGGGCGCGTTGAGCAGCATAATCCTGATGCCTACTTGATGCCTGAAGATTGATCTCCTCGAGGTTTGGGCTTGGCCCTTCTGCCTGACGATGACACAGCCATTTTGTATGGTCAGGCGGCTGCCGTTAAAGTCGCAGATGGAACCTTCTTGGAGAATCTCTTTTGGCTTGGCCTTAAAGCAGAGTTCTTTCTCCTCGATCTTGAGAAATGCATCTGTGCCAACAATGAATGTGTCATCCGTTTGCAAGGCCGCGATGCCAAACAGGTCCTTGTCGGCGATGTTGTTTGCCGTGATCAGAAGGCACGGGTCAAACGAAGAGGTTTCCATATTAAGCTTGCGGCAGTGATGGTCGTGATATGTGTTGAACCAGTGGGCTCCTGCCTCTGCGATGCCATATAGCGGCTTCACGATTCGCAGGATTGTTCCTCTGGATATCTTCTTTTGAGTTCTTGAGGAAGGGCTGCAAGGATGACACGGGCCAGCTTGGTCTGGGATTGTGTGTATGCCATCGTGATGTCTCTGATCATGATGAACATATCCCGTGTGCAGAGAAACGGTGCTAAGGCCAAGGCCACGCGTTGTGCGGGCCGGCTGATGGTAGGGGCTTGTGGATCCCGTTTCCCATCATCATTGTATCCTTGCACAACGAGGCGTGATTTCTCGTATGGCGTTGCAGTATTTCTTCCCTTAACCTCTCTGACCATTCGTGATTTGAAGACACGATATCCACCATGTTTATTCGCATCGAATTCTTCGGGTACAATGACCCCAGCGGCGAGGAGGTTCGTGAGCTCGAGTGTGTCGGAAGCTTCAAATGGGAAACCGGTGCTTGTGATCTTTCCTTCAGCTCGTAGCCGCTTGCCTGGGCCGAGATGTTCCATTTCTTTTCGAACAAGAAACGCATTAGCTTCATGATGAACGATAAATTGAACGGGTGAGCAAACAATAGTGGATTCTGATGTGCCATTTTGTGCAGCATCCTTCCTAGGTCAGCCACGCCTGCGCGGCCTCTTTGGCTCAGGGTATTCGAAAGGTTTGGGTTGGTCTTCTGTGGTAGGAAGAGAAGAGGTTGTTGAGTTGTGGGTGGAAGGGAAGAGGTTTTGAAGAGGATGTTGTTGATCGGATTGTGTTGAGGAAGGAGTGATTGTTGTGTTGATGGGTCTGTGCGGCTAGGGCTAGGGTCGGGTTGCAACTGAGGAAGGAGCGATTCCGGGTGACGATAGTACGGTTGGACGCATGTACTGCGAAATTTCGCTGGTCCGTTGTCCAGGTCAACTGCGATTTCCGTATCCGTCACCTCGAGCACTTTATATGGGCCTTGCCATCCGTGCTTCTCGCGAAATACGCGAACTTCGCTTCCTAGCGCCAGGGATAGGGGCAGGCGCAACGCTGTATCAGGCCCATTACGCGTATTTAACGCGGTCTGAACCTTCCTCTGGGCGTTGATCTTCCTCAGCTCTGACATCGTTCGCCACACCGCCAGCTCTTGCCATTGCGGAAGGTGTAGGCGGCGAATCCATCGTCATTCGAGGCAGAGCACCGAAGACGAGGAGGTTGGAACGAGGCCATCCGGACCGGCTGTGTCGTTGACAGCCTTGAAAGCCATTTGAAGGACTTGATCAGGGCTCACGGTATCCTTCAGCTCTGCCTTTAATATATCATATGCTCTTCGGACGGGCACATGATACTTCTCAACCTTCCCAACAGCCCAATGTGCTTCCACAGGCACCTGATGACACGTTATTCCCATCAATTTCGCTTCTGCTTGGAACTCGGCAGCAGCGAAATTCGTGCCTGCGTCATGAGTGATCACATCGGGTGGTCCAAGGTATGTATCCATCAACATTGTTTCAACGCGAGCCACGTTTCCTTGGCCGTCATGTTGGATAGGAATCTCCTGCCTGATAGGCAGTGGCTTGATCAACAACATGGAGGACTGGTCTGCCACCCAATGTCATGACATCAACGATGACTTCGTAATTGAAGTCACAATCATCCTTCAAGCTGAACTTGAACCTTCGTGGCGGGTCGGATTTCATCTGACAGTAGTGGCAGAACTTCTTGATCATTTCCAGAGCTTCGATTTCCACATCATGGCCAGCCGAATTCAGCAGCTTGTGCAGCCGATACACGGATGGATGACCAAAACGCGTGTGGAGGCGCCGCAATTCAGCCTCCGTGAGATATGCCACTGATGCCTCTTGTTTCCGCAAGAAGAACCACGCGTGACCCCATCTTCGAATCACTGGAACGCTCACACCATTGCCAACGAGCTCGTTCGTGACGTTATTTAAATATACGCCGAGCCGATCCATATCAGCTAGGCATAGGAGGAATGGCGTTGGCACGTTGACTATATGAAAATCAACCTCTCCCACTGGTGTGTTCAAGGTGATCACGCCAAGTGGTGTTCCAATCTTCCTGCACCAAATCTAACTGGTTCGGGCTTGCGATCATCACGGAATTGGACTGGGGGCATCTCTCGTTGGAGAGCACGCAGTTGTTCGATTCCTCCCGTCGATATGCATGCCGCACCTGTGTCCGGCATGATTCCTTGGAACGAGTCTTGAGAGTAACGATCTAGTATGAATTGTGTGGTTCGTCACTGTTGAATAACTTGATGCCTACTGGAGAGATCCGATGATGGAAAGCTTCGTTGGACAGAAAGGTCGCAGCAGCGTAGAACGATTCATAAGGGTCAGAGGAGTCAGAATCATCGGATTCCTCGGTGCTCGAGTCATCCTGATCCTGTGATTCCCCTTCATAGTCAGCCAAGAACATAGCATACGAACGAGATTGACCGTGGAAGCCTCTCTCGTAGATACTTCTCTTTGGCTGCTTTTCTCTCGTTTTCAGGATGTCTCGTTGAGAAACAACCTTCCTTGCCGCAAACGTAGCATTTCTTCTTCCAATTTGGCTGACGCCTTTGTGATTGACCTCTTGTTCCGCCGGAATTTCGCTGAAATTTGCGATCCACGAAGTGCTGATCATGTCCTCTATCCAGGTCTTGGGGATATTGGCCACTGGGTTGTTCAGATCGTTCATCTTGCATGGCAGATAGCGATGATCGAAGCTGTGATGCCAATCCCTCAAATGTAGGTGCGGAGAGTATATCGCGAGTCGGAATTCAGGCACACCACGGCACGCCCTGAGCGTTGCATCGATCAGGCCACCTTCGCCGCCAGACTTATCCCCGAGTGCTCTCCTACAGAGCCGCAATTTCGTAAGAAGGGCCTGGAGGACCTCGTCAGATGACTTACCGGGCATCTCAGCCCGAAGTCGGCTGAAGGTGAGGTCCTCCAGTGGGTATGATACATCTTCTGGTTGATTTCGGTGTCAAAGTGCTCTTTCATCTTCTGATACATCTCAGCGAAGGTTAAATCAGTGCTGATTTCGTGTAGAAAGAAGGACTGAGCTTCCCAGCCAGAATCGAAGGAAAACACCATGGAATTTAGACGGAGGAATGTTTGCTTGACGGCACACGCTCATGAATTTCGGATCTTGTCATCGAAGATATCGTATGGTTCGCCGGTATAGGCTAGTTTCTTGTCCCATATCTTAATGAATCTAATCGTGAGATCGGCCTCAACTTCCTCGTTCTCGAATCGAGGTGGAATGCTCGTGTATGCATCTCGGAAGTTGGTAGTCCGTACGGGGCGTCTGCTGATACCGAGGATTCGCGCCATTGATGCTGAGGCTCTTGCTGAGCGGGTTGATGGGTCTCAATGATCTGAGGATTCCGGTTCCGCCGGTCGGGTAATAGTTGGCTGCTGGATTACTACCGGTGCCGGTGACGATATAGCCGCTTTAACAGTTCCTTGGAGCAGCTTCTGTTTCACCTTATATGCCACGGTGTTTTCAGCAACCTCTTGACCAAGCAACTCGTTCTCATCCCATTCAGGAAGTTCGTTACTTGTTAGAAGGCCACATAAAGCTCGAGAGATGCTAGAGTTGGCCTTGCCCATATAGATCCCCCTAATTCTGAGAAGCGTCCGGAGTCTTGATCTAAGGCGTGGGTTGATTAGTTCGAAGTCATCATAGCTCCATCCCGTGAAGTCGTTATACAGATCCCCAAGCAGGGCAATTCCGTGGTTACGTTTATCCACCGTGTATGTTGCCACACAGCCTAAGAAGAAGCTGTTGCGGTGGACAAGGGAGGAGCTCTGGGTGATAGGTTCGTTGAGAAATCCGCGTCGAAATGCCTGATCGGGAGTGAAGGGCTCCACGATCGTCAGGTTCCGTTCAACGAGTTGCCTGTCTTCGAGACACGTTGGCCGGGTATCCTGGGCTGTTGCCGGGGCTAGTGCGGCAGATGAATTGTCAGACATATTGACAGGCTGTGTGCTGAGAAACGGGCACAGGGTGTCAATGAGGTTATCAATGTGCGATAGGGCACGCCTAAGGGTCGCTGATGACAGCAAAGCTTAGCACGGTTGGATAACTAGTGGGCTCTGATGCAGAGTCTTCGTAGCAATCCGCGCGTTGTAGCAACTATCCTACCGTCAGGGAGCTCGCTTTGCAGAGCGTGACGATAGGTTAGCTCTCTTCCGTCTTGCTGTTCTGTGTCACCTTTGCCGGGCGACACTGATCAGTGTGGACAGGCTCTTCACTGCAGTGAGGTTATTCGAACTGGTTCAATTGGTTATATCTTGTGTAACTAGGAAACGTGTCCCATACAAACTGTGTGCAAAGACCTTCCTCCCTGTGTCTCACCTCTTACTCGCACGTGACTAGCGCGGTCGATTAGTTATACGTGCGCGATCGGTGCCTAGTGCACAGGTGGATCCAACAGGGCTAAATTTATAGTCCTAGCGGGTTTATTATACCTTATAGGGTATAAAACCTTGCCTTTTAGGCCCTAACTAGCTAGTAAACTACTATAGCTATCCGGTAAACTTTTTTATAGGGAAGTATAGCTAGTTAAGGCGTAGCGCCGATACTATATAATTTGGTACGTATATTCCCCGTGTGACGACCGGTGATATTCCCAAGGGATAAACCTGTCGAGGGGTTTATGTTGGCAGATACAACAGGGCGTGGTCTGAGCAATGATAAGTATGTCACGTTGGTGATGAGTCGGAGGTCGTAGACCGTAGACTGTAACCAGGTAATCAAGTGATCGGAATCAGAGATGAGATCGTGATAGGGATCATAATGATTGTGTTGAAAGCTAAAGCTATCTAGTCTAAAGGAGTGAAATGGGGCAGCTATATATACCCAACTGCCCGTCTCTGATCGCGAGTGCTGGAGGTGATCACAGAGGTGATCACCTTGATCGATGAACGATCCGTCGAGCACCGCTCGCTTGATCGTAAGGCGATCCACCG